GGATGTTATGAAGAATATTCATCAGAAACCCGATGTTACTGATGGATTTGTAATGGTGGTCAAAAATGAATTAAAAAAGTTGGCAAACAACCAACAATTAAATGCACAAATAGATTTGTTGGCATACACTAAAGATTTACTTTTAGCTTTTAATGAATAATTTTAATTAAATCGCATTATTATTAATTACAAATAAATTAATACATTTTTCTACTGACTATACCTTATTTAACTATTTTTTACTTTTGCTTTAACCTTAACATTTATCATAATTATATGAATGAAAACTGCAGTGATATCAATTATCTAAAATTATTCCAAAATTTTACTTATTTTTTATTAAATATTTATATTCAAACTTCTTGATGGATTTTTCTACATTTTTTTATATATTTATGGTACACATTTTGTTTAATCTGCAAATCAGTCAAATTTTACATCTTCCTGTCACATGGAGCAGATTAGCAGATTAGATTTCAGCCTATGAGAAAGCAGTCTCTTAAAGCAGAGTACCATTTGCCGTAAGAGACTCCATTTTGATTGGATGAAATATAATCTGCTAATCTGCTCCATGTGATAGAGCTCTATAGATTTCAGCAGATTAGCTAATTAGAGGAGGACGGATTTATAGATTATTTCAATTGAATTTTTAATTAAACTAAAATATAATATAAAATATCATATAAATAAAATATTATATATAAATAAATCCTAAAACTTAAATATTGTTCATTAATTGTCGTTAAATACATATATGGGCATATCTCTAGAACTTTTAAACTTTGAGATATTAGAAAAATTAATTTTTTTTTCAGGGCACATTCGTGAAACAAATTTTATTGTCTTCAGTATTGATCAAATACTATAAAAAAATTTGCGTAACTCATTTTTACACATTGTTACGCATCACAGTGGGCCTTATTGCAAAAAACCTGCCCAAAATCTCTAGATGTGTTTAAAACTGACTGAAATTTGATACTCGCGGATTTTTTTGGTCGCTGATTACAAATGCGACGTTAGTTTTTCAAAATTCAAAATGGCGGATCCAATATGGCCGACGACTTTTAAAAAAATTTATCGAATTTGTCTGAAATTTGTTACTCGGGGGTTTTTTGGGTCGCTACCACCTTTAAAAGGATTTAATGCTACAGTTTCGAAAATTTTATGGCCTATTGCTTATTAAGTCATAAGTAAATGTAGTTTATAACAATTTTTGAATTTTTAAAAATTTAATTTTTTAAAAATTTTTTAAAAAATTTTGTTTGCAATTTTGGATCCACCATTTTGAATTTTGAAAAATTAAGTTCAGATTCGTAATCAGCGACCCCATAAACCCCCGAGTAACAAATTTTAGGCCAATAGGATCACTTTTTTAAAAAGTCGTCCGCCATATTGGATTCGCCATTTTGAATTTTGGAAAATTTAAAATTCAGATTAGTAGTCGCAGCGACCCCAAAAACCTTCGAGTGAGAAATATCAGCCAGATTTAAACACATCTATTAGTTAATACTTACTTTTCTTCACAAACTATGCGTCGGACAGTTTAGGTTTATATTCATTATTAATTATACAGTTTTAATGAAGTGTGCAAAGGTTAACTATTTTTCTGTATACTTTTATAATGCATGAGAAGAGATTACAATGAGTTGGGAGCATTTAGAAGCAAAATTCAACATGTGCTTTTCAAATATGTGGTATTTTGATTTGAGTTACGTTTTAAAATTTAATGTTTGAAGTCATTGCATTCTTTGTGTAAAGGAGGCACACATTCCTGTATGGGTTCAAATTACTGCTTATTAGGTAGATAATATAATCCCGTTGTGCCGTTACTCAAAAACCTTCGTTAAAAAAGTTATATCAGTTTAACTGCTAACTTGTAGAAATTTTGAAAAAGTTGTCTCGCAAGTTTGAAGCTACATAGTTTTTATTCAATTTGAGGCACATCATTGTTTCATGGATTTTTTAGTTCTTTACACTCCCACCGACTCCTATTGCAAGCCACAAGACACACAATGTTTCGTTAAAAGAGTTACAGTCTATAAACTAAAAAAACCAGTCAATATCACACACTAGAAACTGTCGATTTCACCACTTTAACTTACGTTCGTCATTTCCTACATAATTAAAAAAATTATATAACGCATGATACATTTAAAAAGCCCTATAATTAGTCAAATTATGGTATTGAAAAATTATTTAAAAAATTCTTAAGGTATCATAATGAGCGATAACATAAAGTTTAAAAGTTCTAGAGATATGCCCATATTTATATGAGACGTTTCACGTCAACCGGCCCAGAGCTCTGTCCAAAAATCTACTGAACGAAAATTGACTTTTTATGGCTTAAAATAACCGTCAGCTCATACTCTTTTAAATAAAAAGTGGCGAATTCAAAAATTCAAAATGGCGTCCTTACTGTGACAACTTTTTCAAATTTTTTTACTGACTCAGCAAACAAATGTATTAATTATCTTGAAAAAATCATTGCTATTAGTTAGAGAATAGGTCACTCTTATGTTTTTGGGGTCGCCGAAAATGAATCTGAATTCAGATTAAAAAAATTTTCAAAATTCAAAATGGCGGATCCAATATGGCAGACAGGTTTTTAAAAACTTAATGGATTCGCTTGAAACTCGTTACTCGGGGGTTTTTGGGGTCGCTGATTACGAATCTGAAGTCAGATTTCGAAAATTCAAAGTGGCGGATTCAATATGGCGGACATTTTTTTAAAAAATTCAATGGTTATGCTTAAAACTTGTTATTCGGGGGTTTTTGGGGTCGCTGATTACGAATCTGAAGTCAGATTTTGAAAATTCAAAATTTTAACTACTGTTTAAACAATTTATTATTGTTATTTACAAACTTTTTTCTAATTCCAACAAAAAATGCAATGTTTCCCTAGTTTTGCAACTTACCGAATTAAGTATAATAAGAAATACGGACTTTAATAAAATTGTTATTTTAATTATTGTTATTTATAAACTATTTCTAATATTCTGAATATGCGTATTTACGTTTTCACCCAATTCCCCAGTGAACATCTAAATATCAAAAAAATGAATTCTTTTCTATTCCCAGTACAGATAAGTCAATAGAAAAGAATTCAAACTTTCTATTTTTCTAAATGCGCAAAGTTTTTTATTTTCATACTTTTTGGCAGCGAATAGAAAAAAATTAAATGTTTGGAGAGTAAATTCTAAATGTCTATTCCTTTCAATCGCCAGCTTCAAAATTTTCATGAAAGGAATAAGAAATTTGAAAAGTGAAGTACATGTGGTTATTTGTATAAATTGACTATAGCTCAGGACATTTGGAGGACATTTAGAGGAATAGAAAATGTGGAGAATAAATGAGGCATTTCTATATTTTACAATTGACTGCGTCAGGTTATATGTATAATTTAGAGTATAAATTTTGACCAAGTCAATTAAGAAGAATAGATTTTTCTACTTTTTTTTGCTTTATCGAGGAATTGAACAAAAACTTAAATTCACTAATTCAAAGAATTGGAACTCTGAATTCTTTTCAATTATTCGCTTCTTACCGGGTCCTTAAAACTAACGCCCTAGTAATGAAATTAATTCGTAAATTATTAACTATCCTTTTGCTTTAATTCCATAAGGGTGTACTTTTATAGCGTCCCCAAGAGAGTTGAAATTCAACTCTTTTTTTACATTTAATGAGAACCTTAACCCCAACAGTAAAACCTTAATATTTACTACAGATTTATAAACAGCCATTTTAAAAACTCCTGAGTTAGAAGTATCAAATTAATTAATTAATTTAATATTTTCAAAATCTGACTTCAGATTCGTAATCAGCGACCCCAAAAACCCCCGAGTAACAAGTTTCAAACAAATTCATTGAATTTTTCAGAAATATATCGGCCATATTGGATCTGCTATTTTGAATTTTTAAACTCTGACTTCAGATTCGTAATCAGCGACCCCAAAAACCCCCGAGTAACAAGTTTCAAGCAAATCCATTGAATTTTTCAAAAATATATCGGCCATATTGGATCTGCTATTTTGAATTTTCAAAATCTGAATTCAGATTCGTAATCAGCGACCCCAAAAACCCCCGAATAACAAGTTTTAAGCAAATCCATTGAATTTTTTTAAAAAATGTCCGCCATATTGAATCCGCCATTTTTAATTTTCGAAATCTGACTTCAGATTCGTAATCAGCGACCCCAAAAACCCCCGAGTAACAAGTTTCAAGCGAATCCATTAAGTTTTTAATAACCTGTCTGCCATATTGGATTCGCCATTTTGAATTTTGAAAATTTTTTTAATCTGACTTCAGATTCATTTTCGGCGACCCCAAAAACATAAGAGTGACCTATTCTCTAACTAATAGCAATGATTTGTTCAAGATAATTAATACATTTGTTTGCTGAGTCAGTAAAAAAATTGGAAAAATTTGTCACAGTAAGGACGCCATGTTGAATTTTTGAATTCGCCACTTTTTATTTGAGAGAGTATGAGCTAACGGTTATTTTAAGCCATAATAAGTCAATTTTCGTTTAGTAGATTTTTGGACAGAGCTCTGGGCCGGTTGACGTGAAACGTCCCATATATATATATATATATAACCGAATTTCATAAAATAAAATTAATACAAAACCTAATTTTGGTAACGTTTTAAATTTTCAGTTAATTTAATTTTTATCAAATACACAAACTTTTTGTAAAACCAAATTGTTGAATAATAATTGTTACCACTTTTTTAATATAATAAACATCTCAATTAGAAAAAAATTTAGAAATCAGCTGTCACTTTTTTGCCAATAGAATTTTTTTAAAATTAATTGAACATTCAATTTTCAAGTAATTTATTGGCCGCTATAAATTACTGCCACTTCAATTTTGAAAAACTTAGGGGTTTTACCTGAGAAGAAAATTAATCATTATTATTATTATATTAATTATTAAAAATTAATGCTAAAAATAGAATTTTTCTTATAGATCTGTAGCCTTTCGACGGCTTGGGAATGCGTTATGCAAATTGCTCATGTGCTAAATGCACGTGCATCCGTTTTCATTTCGTGGCCTGGAGAACTCGGGATCACAATAAATCAACGAGATTTCTTGGAAATAGGTGGGTTCCCAGGAGTGATTAGAGTCGTCGATGGTTGCCTCATAAAAATTAGTGCGCCACACGAGAATCCTGACAGCTATATAGACAGGAAAGGACACCATTCGATAAACATGCAGGCTATATTCGATTCAAGAAGGCGTTTCATTGACGTCTATGCGGCTTGCCCTGGAAGCGTCAATGATGCGCGAGTGTGGTCCCTGAGCACAATTAACCAAGAATCTCTTCGAGACTATGACCGCTACTTTCCAGAGCAGACTCATATTCTCGGAGACAAAATATATCCCGTGCGTTTTAATTTAATGCCACCATTCAAGGGCTTAAGAAATTTGGGACCAATGGAGCTCGAATACAACAGAATTCACATTCTTACACGTCAAATAATAGAAAGGGCTTTTGCCCTCTTATTGCAACGTTTTCGACGTTTGAAATACTTATATCTACAAGACGTTGCAATCGCATCTCTCATCATTCTTGCCTGTTGCTGTCTTCACAATGTTTGCATTTCATTGAACGATGTACTTGGGGAGGAGGAGGAGATGGAACAATTGTTGAAAGAAAATGGTGATGATGATAATGATGATGGAGGTAATGGAGATCTTCGGGGAGAAGATGGGAATATGCAATTTCCAGCAATTTTGAAGCGTAATATTATTGCTGAACAATTGTATACAATTCGAAGAATGCAATAATCAACTACTGTTACCTCTTAAGCGGATCAAAAAAAATTATCAAACTCGTGTGTCGCGTAACGATCTCATTTTATATAAAATAATCATCATCTTGTATATAATTCTTGTTAATCAGTTGTTGTAAAAAAAAATTTAAAAAATAACAAACACTTTCTTCTAAAAAGCAGCTTGTGGATGCTTGTAAATTAAGTATTGTTAATTGTTGCCAGAGTTTTCTTTTAATGAATGAATGAATGAATTAATTAATTAAATTATTTAATTTAATTATTTAACAAGAAATATTTGAAAATTATGTTCTTTCTTACCTAAGTTCCGTTCTTCAAATTCCTGCGTTCATTTTTCGGTTTATAAGATAATAAATTTATTTTTTACTATTAGAAAGGCAAATACAAAAATATTACAAAGCATAAAAATAAATTCCATGCACAGTAATTATTACATTTTATAAACACGTTATTATTTCCCAATCATAATCCATTTTTAAACTATTTTTTGCTTTTATTTCATTTTCCACGTCTTTTTCCTAGATTTTCCTGGTTAGTAGACATCTTGTAATTTTTCCAAAATTTGTGTATGTTACAATTATTATCACGTGGATATTTTGAGAAATAATATTAAAAATTAATATTGTACTATTAATTTTTATATAAAAGTATCTTTATTTTTATACAAATAATCTTAATCTCTTTTTGGTACATATGTAATACTGTTTCTGTGGCAGTAAATAGATATACATATAAACAATAATAAAAATAAAGCAACAGGACGTAAGAACATGCTATTATCGTACTTAAATTTTCCATTTAAAATGAAAATTATTTGACTTATTTGTCCCAAAACCATGTAATTATAGGCGAATAAAGCCTTAAAAAATAATAATAATTTCAACAAAAATACATACATGGTCTTGAACAAACAAAAACGCTTTAAATCTTTCATACAAAAGTTAAACAAATTGTTTATAAAACGCCTCTCTGACCTGAGAGAATGAAAGCGGTTGAATGTTATTTTTTTGTGTTGTAAACTTAAAAAGAAATTATTACGAGTTATTTGCTTTACACAAATATTCAATCCGCGCACAAGCTCCTATTTCAACATTAAAGAAAAAAGACAATGTCGAAAGTGAAAAATTCAAACTCTTCTGCCAAGAAAGAAATCTAGACTCAGAAGGCATAACATAACATGACCTCTTAAGTCACGCTTACAAACCACGAATTAAAAGCGATAAAACTACAACGAAAAAACTGATAAAACGTTTCAAAAATTTACAGAGAAAATCTCTATTAAATCGCACTTGTTCATGATTAATCGCAAACAAAGTAAGCTTATCGGTATATTTTTAATCTTTTTCCTCAGAATCTTTGCGTTTTTTCTTTGCTGCTTGAAAAAATTCTTTCATTAAAACCAGCATTTGGTCTTTTCTTTCCAAACTGGCAACACTTCGCCAATTTGCTTCCTGATTTAATTCTCTTAGCGTCATGGGACTTTCCTTCTGTACAGTAGATTTCCTTCGTTTTGCTTGAGAATTTTGATCGTCGACATGTCCAATGGTATTTTTACTTCCTTTGATTTCGTAAGCAATTTTCTTTTCGTACCCTTTCAGACTAGAGGCAGTTGTTGGAGGTACAATTTCAGGTCGTTTGTACAAATGGAAATCCATCTCGTCAAAATATTGCCACTTTTTCTGAGGACTTGTGCCCGTTTGTTTTTTCCTATCAACAATACCTTTGTAGGTTCTCATTAATGCATCCCATTTCGTGTCGCATTTATGTTCTGTTACTTTAAACCCTTGTTTTACCAAAATATCCGATACTTTCATCCACAAACGAGTTCCTTTTAGATTAGTTTTGTCCTTTGTTTGCAAATATGTTTCGATTAATGCCGATACCATCTCGGGTGTCCATTCTACACGTGTTTTATCTAAAAAAAAAGATTTTTGAAATATATATTTTATTATTTTATTTATTATTATATTATTATACATTTTTATTATTTTTATTGAAAAAAATGCAATTCAGTAATAGTAATCAAGATTGCTATAATTTTCCTGGAACAAAATTCAATTACATTTTCAGGTTTTCCAGGACTCAAATTAATTAAATAAAATTTTTAATTTAATAAAATTTTGAATAATTGAGTTTTTAATTTATTCCGGAATAATGAATTTTAAATCGATTAAAATTGAGAACAATTAAATTTTAAATTGACTAAAATGTGTAACAATAGAATAGACCTGTCCTGTTCCGCACAATTTTTTAACCCTCAAATATTTATAACCGTTATTTTAAGTTTGAAATTTTTAATTGTAGTATTCTAGTGACAGAATCTTAATCAGTGAAATAAAAAAACATGGATGTTTTTTGGTTCTTTTAGCGTAATTTTGACTTATCAATTTTCAAAAATTAATTTCCTAATTCTTCAAATTTCAGATATTCTATCTATCCCGTTATTTTAAATTTTCAATTCGCGATTTTTCTATTCTGACAACAAAATCTTAATCGAAGACCACGAAAATTTAATTGTACCTACATTAACCCCTTCACTGTTATTGACCTCTATAGAGGCAAAAAAATGTCGTGCCACCAGTGTGCATGACCGCTATAGAGGCATCTCAAAAAAATAAGTAGACACAAAATATGATAAATTATCGATAGTTTACTTCATTATTTTAATAATCGTTTACTTCATTATTTTAACAATACAATAAACTTGTCAATGGGTATTCTTAGATTTTCGGTTTTTTTTAATATCAATTTTAAAAAAAAAAATTTTTTTTCCCACATACGGGGCACTGAAGCTTTATTTTTGCTACACTGCGAAGGGGTTAAGTGCAATTGATTACAAATATTATTGATTTTCGATTTTTTAATCATCAATTATAGAATGTTACAAAACAATATGTTCAAAAAATGAATAATTTGAAAATTTTCGATTGATGATAAAAGCTTACTTGACTTTGAATTCTCTTTATTTTCGTCAATTTTGTCAATTCCGTTTCTAAAAATAAATAAACAATTATTGTTTATATAAACTATAACGTGATTTTTGCTTGAATGATTATTTTTGTGTTATTTTTACTTTAATTTTACCAAAAACTATTAATTTTAAATTATATTTTCTCACGTTACTTTATTTTTAATTATTTATTATTTTTAAGACGCCAAGTTATTTTTATGGAAAATAACTAAACCATTCTATATTTATTTGAATATAATATAATATCCGCCTGCTGGCTCAGCACGTCATTGTTTTGTACCAATGACCCGCGGAGAGTGGGTGGGAAAGGATAAAGACACAAGTAAACACTTCACTTAATTTGTTTCATAATTATTTCTTTAATTCATTATTTTAATTAAATCAAGTATTCCGCAGAAGGCCGAATAATTTTCACAATTAGTATTCGGCAGAAGGCCGAATAATTTTCACAATTATAATTTTAATACGCGAAAACTTTTGTGTACAACGGAAGGTTATATTATAATTTTAATTAATGATTTAATAATATGCCGATCTGGCTGACAAAATTATTATACTCGGGACTCACCGTCTATACGACGTCGACCCCTCAAAGAACCTCGTCCTGACATTATTTAATTTTTTTATTACACTAATTTATTTATTATGACAAAAATTAGGCTTGTCGCCTGTTGCACTTCCAGAATGAGAATGACTAAAAATGGCTGACCTGTCACGCTAGTCGGCGTCTCTTTGTGCGCTTTCTTTTTAGAGGTGAGTCCCGGTGAAAGTAATTAATTACAACTTTTTCTTTATCGATAATCAATTTATCACGAGTCGATATTTTTCATGAATCCGGAGGGTAAAGTAGAACGCTACCGTGCCACAGCGCATCGTAGCGCTCTCTATCCAAAATGGCCGCTCCCATTGTTGTGACAGCTGAGTATACAAATGAATTTTCGTCTTCCTGGTGCTCTTCTTATTCGGGAATCTCTTCCAAATATATACACCAGGAAGCACTTCCCTTGTGGTACATCGAACATCATTAATAATATGGAAAAGCTGACTCATTTTGTTGAATCGGAGAATTACTCCGATTAATGTCCATTTTTTCATGAAATAGAAAAATAATAAAATGATAATGTGGACAACAATTTACTGTTTCCTTGAATCGATCTGGCGAGTCAGCAGGTATATTTAATTTTATTCAACTATTGCTTAATTTAACATTTAATATTTTTACAATTCTCTTGTTATTTTATTACTTTTGACAAACATACTGATATTTATTTGTTTTTAGAAATGATGGTGATTCCCACCCTGGAATATTTATTTACTATTTATCTATAAAAAATTAAGGAATATTGTGACGAGCATAAAATGCCGCGTCACAAAACATATATATAATATATATATATATATATATATATATATATATATATAATATATATATATTGTGTATATAAAAATTTTGAAGTTTTTAGGAATGTACAGGCATAAATCTAATTTTATTATATTAATATATATATTTTTGAAAAATTACCGAGACCCTTTCCACTATCATCATCATATGCATCATGATCATTAGCATCATCAAGTGCATCATTATCATCATCTCGATTGTCTTTGCCGAATGAAGTAGACAGCTGAGAGAAAAAATTTCTTTCAATATTTGGTATCGTAATAGTCATCTCCTCTGGCGAAACGTATTGTACGTCTTCTCGTCCTACAAAGATCGAATAAATGAAATGAAAAAGTGAAAACTATATGTATAAAAACCACTATACGTATAATGCATGCGCAATTGAAAATCAAGAATTTATTATTAAAATTTAAATGCAGTAATTGAAATTGACTAAAATTGAAATTATATCAATTTTTATCTTACTAAAATTTTGTTTAGATTGAAATTTCAGTTTTAAGTAGTTTATGTAATTTAAGTTCAGATTTTAAAAATGTAAAATAGATTAAACAAGAGGAGGGTCCTTCTTTATAAAAGAAGTAAATAGCTTCCTCATAAAGGAAGAATTCTGTTCATGCCATGA